AGATATTTAAACCTTGTGAGTCATTTAGATGCACAGAAAATAGCTTGAAATGGTCTTTCTGATGGCCTTCAAGCATTATGGTTCTTATGGTGGGGTTAATCTGCCAACTCATCTCATTCTGATAACCACATCTAAAAAAAGGATCAAATGGATTTCAATTGAAAAATCTTAGTTCTTCAAAAGCTAAGGAGGGAGCAAAGTCTGAGCAATCCGCAGGCTCTTGTGCTTGAAAGTCAGGAATATTGATATACTATGTGGCTTAACTTGCCCATCCATCTGGAACTGCCATGAACACCTCTGCAGCCCACCACATCGCATTGTAGGGAACCTTGCAAGGCAAGGCACTGTCAAACAATCATTGTAATTTATAATATAGGAGGTAACCTGAATAAGTGGAGGAAATCCAGTAAATTAAATACTAATGATAAGTATGCCATGTTAAAACCACAATTTGAATCTATCTATTACCAGATTTTGACAAGATCCACTGTGTTCATTATTCAAATTCTGATTATTAATAGTAATTTTTAATATATCTAACAAATTAAAAAGAAGAAGACACTCATGGGGCAACCTTAATCATTCCCATTGGTCTGCAGATTTCATCTCTTATTATTGGGAAGACAGTGAGTTTCAGCTGTTACTGCTGCTATTATAATTACTATTATTATTATTATTATGTCATCACACACATGCCTGAAATTCATGCCAAGGACATTAGGAGAGTGTGGCACTTCAGAATTAGGAGAAAAAAAATCAGAGAATATATGTGTGATTCTTTGGATACACTGAATTTCAAATAACTCTCAAAACTGATCAGATTTATCTTAAAAGATGTTAGATAATTAATTAACTGATATTATATGTAATTCTAGACTGTACTTCTCCAAATGTAGTTTCTAGAAGGTGTGCAAAACTTTCTGAAAAGCATGAAATTCTGCAATTAACTAGCATTGTTTCTGGTTTGAGTTTGACAGATGTTGCAAGTAAGAAAGATCTTTGACTCACCAAAACTTTAAAGGATACAGGTTTATCCTCCTGCAATCAAATCTGCTCTGTCCAGATATGAGTAAGAAACTCAGTAAATCTAGAAATCAGTACAGCTGAGTGCTCCAGCTTCATTCAGGTAATCTACACCCTGCAGCTTTACATAGCCTCAAAACAAATTATGAGCACCTGTGAGCACAGGCTTAACAATATATTTCCCTGTTTTAACCTTGTGTGAGTTGTATCTTACTCCAAGGTTTATAAGGTGCATAACTGGAAAATGAAAAAGCTATTTTGACAAATGAGATTACAGTGATAGATTAGGTTGTTGTGAAAGGTTATTCAGGAATAGCTGATTACAAATCAAAAATTAGTATCACTCTAAAATGTTGATTAACTCAGTATTACTAGTAGCTTTTACTTGACATTGCTAAAGCTGTGTTGTTTTTCATTTTACAGTACTAGTCAGGTAAATTAAAAATAAAATCCTCAAAAATAAAAATAACACAAAATAATCACTAGTGGAGAAGGTAAATATCAACCAAAGACAAGACTTGTCCATCATGTCTTCATTTATGGTGAATACTTATGCTAACTGAACAGGAATACTCCTTCTAGTGCTTTAAAAACACTGATCTTCTGAATTGAACAGGATTCAAGGATTGAGAAGAGTTGCAGGCATCCTGCTAGGTAACAAATTTGAAAAAAGCTCACTTTCAATGCTTCTTATCTGGACAGTGCAGCTTTCAAAGGGTTTTATACCTCCTAGACCCAGAGACATGGAGTAGCATAAATAACTCCAGCTTCCTGCTCCAAGGTTGACTAAGGAGATAAATGGACTTTTTAAAATGGAAACTGTCTGAGTTCCTTTGAGGGAAAGAAAATTGAAAATTTTCTCTCTCTTTCTCTCTATGTATGTATTTTAGTAATAAGAGAACCTCCATTACTATATGTGTTGTTAGAAGTTAATCAAAGTAGTTCTTCGGATTATTGTGGCTAACTCTGCTGTTCAGGCAAATGAATGTAGACAATTATTTTTCTTTCTTTCACAAATCTGTTCTACATGAAGAGACCTGTGTTATGGTGCAGAAAAGTCTTGTAGACTCTGAAGACCTGTTTTGAGATACACAAGCCAGAAATATCACAGCAGATTAGCACTGTCTTGGCTAGGTGTCCCAACAGAGTCTGAGTTTGTAAGAGGTAACAATAATCATATTTACAACAAATGGCAAGAAGAGAGAGAGAGAAAATAATGATAATGATAATAATAAAAACATGGATACACTGAAGAAATCAAGAAAGCACTTAGCCCAGATTATTTGAAATGGTTTGTCCCTTGTCATGGTGCAAGCCATATTTCAAAACTTCATCCAAACTATTGCTTCTCAGTGAATTAGATCTAGTTTTAAGTGACTGTGTTCCACTCTGAAATACACACATGAAAAAAGATGTTGATCTAATCATAGCTTTTACAAATGATATTTAATGTTGCCAGCCTAAATCTACTAATTACCTAGTGTCACGGTTTTCTGATTGGCCACAGTGCATTAACACCCCTCTGTCCTGATTTGAATCTATACATAAAATGCAATTTTAAGGGTATCTGTAAATAGCTATGTGTACCTATTGATCTGAACATCAGCATATTCTTAATCTCAAAATAACGAGAAATAATACAGAGTATGTCAGCCAATTAATTATATTTATAATTTGACCACTTCATGCACATACAAAATACATCAAACTCATAATGAAAAGAAGCAGACAATGCCCCCGCCATATATACAAAAAAAAACATTTTAAATAACATTGTCTGTGAACAGAACATTTGTGTATATCCTTCCAAAATACATTATTGTCACTTTCTCTTCTGTAATTGTCACAGCATTTTTAAACAAGACCTTGCAGCTGTGAATTCTTATAATGAATGTGATGGTGATGACTGCAAGGTGTAAACTAAAAATTTTAAATTTTAAATATAAGAACTTAATGCAATTCTCCACATATAACCATTAAAGGGATAAGGAGCTAAAAATAAACAATCTCATATTAAATTAGGAATCCTGATTTGCATATCACATGATTTCCACCTGCAGTCTCAGAGAATGAGACAGTTATATTTGTTTCTTCAGGGTGAGGATGTTATGTTTCTTTCTAATATTACAGCCATGACATATTTGGCACTAGATACTAATAAACAAACGAAAAAAAAAAAAAAAAAGTAACTCCCATTCCTGTTGAAAAGAAGCAGACTTTATCAGAAGAGAATTTCAGTGTGACTAAATAAAGACAGGATCCTAACTGCAACTACATTCCTAGAAGCTGGCATTGGAAACTGAATTTATCGAGTGTCCTGTGTCAGATAGAGGTTACCAACTGGATGAATACATGCAAGGCTACTCACAATGTCCATTCCCTTCTCCCAGACAGTCATTCTAGTTAAAAGAAGCACAGGATAGAACAAGAAGCCCTCAGATAAGTGGAGTTTCCTTGACATAACTAGATGCCTGAAAGGTCTATCTACTGTTATAGTGATCCGAGATGAGGCCTTGTTTTACCCTCCGTGCTGTTGCTGGCAGCGTACATGAGGATTCATTTGAACACTGTGGTATTTCCTGCTCTTGAGGAAGGCAGCAAAGGTCACTGCTACTGAAAGCAACTCAGAAACATGGCCAGACCCTCTTGCACACCGTGTGCATGTATTGAAAACACTAGGTCAGCACCCTCTATGTTCTCAGTATGTTAACTCCCACTAATACCCAATGCTGTTCCTAGTAAGACATTCAAGTTGGACATGAAATTCTCTCCATGGTTGGTGAAACCTCTGAATATATGCTTGGTAAATCAAAGCCAGTATAAACTGGACTGCTGGTATACTAGAATACTTACCCGACTGGCGGCACAATTCTTACCTGAGTAGGTAACTCATATTTCTTACTTCTTTATTTTTTTTCTTTTAGTATCCAACTTATATTATGCTAGCATGTTTCCCAAGTATCTTTAGTAGTAAAATGCTGGGTTACTGGAATTTTATACACCTGGTTTCTGGTACTTGAACAAAGATTTATTTATTTTCTTTTTTTTGATTCTTGATAATCTTAGATATGGTATCAGTGATGAGAGCAGCAAAACAGCTCTTTGGACCAGAGATCACATATCGGGAAAAGATTTACCTGTGTCAGACTGTGAAACAGTACCCACACAGATGCATTTTAGACAGAATGACATTCTTAATCTACATCCTAACATTATATGACTGCATTTTACCCTCAAAGGACATTAACAACAGAAAGCATTACTTCATATGCTGTCTTTCCACCTTAAGTGATTCCAAACCCTGCCTTCTAAGACTGTGGATTTAGTGCGTGGGGACAAGTGTGTGCTGAAAGCAAAACCCCTGTGGCTCTGGGTATCCCTTAACTCTACACATTTCTTGAGAAGATAAATGACAATGTTAGAAATGTTTTGTTTTGCCACGAGAGGGCACTCGCTTAAATCATGTCCTTACTAAGGCAATGCTCATTACAATAGTCATGACTTGTTTGCTATCTAAAACATTATTCCAACTTTTTATACAGATATGTTGACAAATTGCAATGTTTGTGTTGTCAGCATGCGTTTAACTTACATCAAGTTATTATGCAATATTATTAGCCATGACAGTTGACAGTACACTGTGCTTCATAAATGTCTGGTAAGACAAATAAATGTGGGAAGGAAATAGTTTCCCTTCATTATCTTTAGAAAGAGCAGTACACCATATTAACACATCTCATTATTCTCAGTGATAAATTCAGACAGGTCACAATCAAAAGGAGAGATATTAGGATGTGCCGCTTTCACAAACATGAGAAATTTGTGAAACCAAGAAAAGATATACATTATATTTTTCATCTGCTCATGAATGGTTAGCTATTTGGACGTGCTTAAATATGGCATTCGATGCAACAATATACAGCATAAGTATGGTCCACATAGGAGATTAATTAAAGCACTCAAAATCTGAGGATTGTCATGTCCTTAATGTGAAACTCTGACTGTGCTGACCTATTTAGAACCAGGGAGATTTTGTTTAAAATGCTTCTAAACAGTCATCGAGAATATACAGTATAACTTACCATAGCATTTCTGGTTTTAGTCCCAATATGTTATATATATATAAGCCTGTGGCATTTACCAAAACCAAGACTGATTTATCCCTCATTCTGAAGTCCAAATAAAAATTCTCACAGTAACAATAGATAGATTTGGTCCATCAAGAGTCAGCTATGTTCCTTGGCAATCGATAATGCTCTGGCCTGAGCTTTGCCTTCTTCTCCTGTGGGTTGGCATATTTCCACTTGGATGGAGACATTTTGAGCTTTTTTCTCTTCTTATCTGTACACCACACTTTTTCACAATATTCTTCAACCCTCTGGAAGTTGCTGTAACCAATTAATTGAAGAAACTCCTTATACCATGGCTTTGATGCCTGAGGTATACTGCTCTGGATTGGGCATGGCATTTTGTGAGGTATTTCCTCCTCATAGTCTTTATTGAACATTTCATCTACACGTTCTTCCTCGACTATTTCCAGGGTGATTTTCCTGACAGTATGAACAATGCTGTGTTCCACTGTCTGGCAAAAATAGGTCCCTGCATCCAGTCGGTGCAGCTTCAGGAATAAGAGGCCAAGGTCCATTTTGATTATTCTATCATCTGTCTTCACCTGAAAAATAATTGACATATATATAATGTATATATATTTTATTATTAGATTAAATCAGTACAATTAGTTCTGAAATATGACTTCAGTAATATAATGTTAACTTTGGAGGGGAGGATTAAGGAAATCTAAGATCCCTCAATGCAAAGTCTTTTAAGTAAATAAAACACTGTTGTGAAGTGAAAAAGAGATTAAGCTGTGAAAGGAAAGAAGTCTAATGGACAAGAAGAGTAGAGCAAATCTTGAAGCAGGTAGTTTCCTGTTTTCCCAGCATGGGTTAGTCACTCACTAAAATGAGTAAAACACTACAATCAAAGAGAGTATTAATAGTGAAACCTGCATATGCAGTACTGGGTGAGAAACATTTGCTGGTTGAACTGCAGTAAATGTCCCTGTGGTTGCTCTTATGCATTACCAGGTGTTCATTCAACACTCACAGATATTTTTAAATGTCTTATTTTAAGGTGATTATAATCTTGAATTCACAGTTCTGAGTTTGGTCGCCATGCTCCCCCTTCAGTTCCTGCGAGCTATGTTATTAAAACTGAAAATTCACAGGACCTAGCAAACAAAGAGCATAAGCTATCCAATGAGCTAGTAGAAAAGGTAAGATGAATTAAATCCCAGTGTTTCTTTTAATGGTAAGATGCTGAATACTAGCAAGATTCTTCTTAGGATAATCCTCATTCTGTTGACCATATAATTATTTGTGTAAAATGGAATAACTTCCAGGAGAAAATATTAAAAGAAATCATCCCCAGTAGTATAAAGAGATACTGGAAAATAAGAGTTTGTGGTGCGCATTACTAGAGCCACAGATGGGTGGCACTAAGTCTGGTGGAACACGCATATAATAGGACAATATTTCCTTCTCCAGAAAAATTATTACACTTCAGTACTTTTAGTGAAAGGCCAAATAAATATTTTAAAGTTTACTATGAATAATAGATTAGGATATTCCAGGTAAATCAATGAGGAAATTGCAAACATGACGATCGTCTAGGACTTGGGAAGGAATCTAAGACTTTGAAAAGCTGAGTGTTTCATTTAAGAACTCGGACAAACTTTTTGGCAAAAAAAAAAGAAAAAAAAGAAAAAAAAAGTGTTTTATGAACCTTGAGGATGTTGTTCAGTTTTCTAAATTTTAGCTATCTTAGTGTGATTTCTAAATTTTAGATAGCTGAGTGTGGTGTCTCTGCTTACCTTTGTATTCAGTGGTTTACCTATTCATTTTTTACCTGATCAAATGAAGTTGTCTAGCTTAGAATGAGTTGGTACCACTAGCTATATCTGCAACACCAACTACTGCAGGGTCAAAGACAGGCTACAGCGATCAGCTTCATTTCTCTCTTCGCTGTGCATGTCCACATCCACTGCCAGATGAACACCATTCCAGATGCCTGCAGCCAAGCTGGGGCTTGGTGCTCTCAGTAGAGCCTAATTGCTAGGCAATAAGACAGCCATGCCCTTTGGTGGTCTTTAGTTTTGTGCTCTGATATGCTCTGGTATTTTAAGGGATAGCAAAATTGATGTGTATCAGATAGGTGGTATAAAATAATGAAGTGCTTTCATAACAATGCAATGTATGTAGAAGAGGCAGATAATGTAGAAGTATATATATGTAGAAACACATATGTAACACATGCATACAGACACCAGCGTTCAGAGAGCTCTGTAGTGTTAGCAGGTGAGGCAGAAAGAATCAACAGATAGTAATCTAGGGATTACATTGGGAATAATACGTATACTTTCCGTCTCTAGAATAACACGCCATAATTGATACAGTATTCTTTTTTTGCTTGTTTGTTTTTGAGATATAAATCAAGTTTAGATAATTTCTAAAATCTGTGTATTTAATCTATTTCATGAAATTGAGTTCAAACACCAGATGAAATTCTCAGGTCTATTAACTCAATACAGCAGATGGACACAATGATACACAATGATCCTACCATATACTTGTGCACATTTCAGCAACCCATGACCAATGAAGCAGATGGACACAATGATACACAATGATCATATACTTGTGCACATTTCAGCAATCCATGACCAATGAAAAGTTGGCTCTTTTTATTAAAGGGTCAGAGTATAGCAATAGTTACCTCTTCCTTTTTAGTGTCATGTGCTCTCTGGACAAACCAGATTACTTTTGCTTGCAAAGTTCTTGGGGTACATTCCAGGAGGGTGCTGTTGTATTCAATCCCATAAACCAGTCGCTCCTCAGTCTTCTCCATGACTTCACCTGGAAGGAAAACACAGGTTTTAAAACACCCAGCCAGACTGTGAGTGGAAGTCAGTCCTTGGTAAAGATCTTCCCCAGGAAATGAATATTCTACTGGAGAGAAGGGGAGCAAACATAATTTGAACATCTCATGGGATTTGGCCATGACACAGACTGTTCAAATTGTACCGTGATTCAGCTAAGATCGTGTGGAGAAATACATCTCAACCCTTTAAAATGTCGGTTTCTTGTACTTGGTTCATATGAGTCACTTGATTTGCAGTCAGTTCAAGAGGAGAATTCAATATATGCTTAAAAATAATCACAAAATATATATTTTTCTGGATAAAAATGAGAATGTTTGTCTTATCACAGAATGAAACACTTAATAGCTATAGAAATTGTATTTTATATTATGCATGTCCATTATGTACACATATGCAGATAGAGCTTTGTTAAATATGTAAAAGCTTGTATAATTTTGGCCCAAGGCTGTTAACAAAACCAAGATGAACACCATTTATCAAGAGTCCTTTCTGCTTTTCTGTCCAGAAAGCATCTCAAAGAAGATAAGTTAGAATATGCAATGCTGGAGGAGACCAAATCCTTCATTGATTGAATCATCTTATTCCACAGTAGTAAGAGAGAAATTATCAGTTTTAGACCTCAAAAACAGAAGATTTGAGGTCATTGTGATATCTTACCTTCTATTTGAAATGTAATATATAATAAATATTTCACAGTGGAAGAGAGTCTTCCAAAATCTACTTTATCCCCCTAAGAAACTAAAAGACACAACAGGACAGAGCTGCTCTGAAGTCTAAGCAGTCATTGCTAAGACCTGTATGAAATGGAGGCTATAGGAGCAGGAACATGTGAGTAAATAAATAAACGAACACAGGTAATATTATGGCACAGCACAAACTGCTGGCAAAATCTGTGTCCTCTGCTCCAGGCGTTTGCTAGCAATTTGTAAGCTTGTGAGTAGATTACCAATGAACTGCTGTCCAAAGCACTGCTGTGCTGCATTTCCATGGCGAACATCTTGTCTGCGGAAACGTCTGGAGGGAAGCAAAAAAAAGAAAAAAGAAATTGATAAGAAAACATGCTTAGCTTACAAATTGATGGGTTTATATTGAATTTGCTTGTATTCATTAAAAACACAAGGAGCTAAATTTGGATTCCTAAAACTTTTGCATGATATAAACATTTATGTGTTGGTATTTTCCCTTTGCAATCACATTCCTGAAGAAAAGAAATAGACCTTTTTGAGGAAAAGACACAACTGTGTGACCACTGTGTGAGTGCCTATATTTAATCTAAAAAATACTAAACCAGGTCCTCTGAGCGAACTGGGAATCATTCTGTACTAGGAAAAGTCAAAGGGTTCTTTAGCTGGTGCTTGGGTTCTCTCAGTCCAGAGGCCAAAATAACTTTTTTTTTTTTTTTTTTTTTTTAATCAGATAGTTTGCTGTGTATGTGAATCATGGTTCTTTTATCATAGGGTTTTTTTTTTTTTTTTTTGGAGGGGGAGCAGAACCACAAATCACAGAGGAAATACTTTATTAAATATGTGTAGCAGTCAGTTGTTAAGCTTATTTTTATTCATAGGGAAACAGACACAGGAATGAATTGCCCATGCTTGTAAATCGAGCTGGTGGTAGAACTGTGGTCAGAATCCAGAGGACTTCTCTGCAACCTGAACGCATTAATGCAATTGTTCTTCAGATAATATTTGTTGTGGGTTTTGTGGTTGGGTAAACCATAATTGTACAATGAATTCTGAGAAGAATTATACTTTTCTATGGCAATTTTGTCCACTGGAACAGGCTGCCCAGAGAGGTTGTGGAGTCTCCTTCTCTGGAGATCTTCAAAACCCGCTTGGATGCAGTCCTGCGCCACGTGCTTTAGGTGTCCCTGCGTATGCAGGGGGGTTGGACTAGATGATCTCTAGAGGTCCCTTCCAACCCTAAGCATTCTATGATTCTATGATTCTATGATCTTCATAAATAAAATTAAGATTGATTAAAAGAGATAGAAATAACGTATTGAGACTGTCAACTCTGTATCTTGCCAGATGCAATAACACCAACAGTCTAAAAGCTAGAGTTATGCTAAGAATAAGCACAATTCTACAATGCAGTGTGGCAAATCTTATAGAACACAGGTGTTAATGTGTCCTGTTTAAAGCAAACATGATAGAAATAGGCAAAGCCATGTAGCTTTGGCTTGCTTCCTCCTATTTACTACTTTTAATACTTATCTTTTCCCAGCTCTTTGAGGACACAAAATGCAGATTATTAGTTACTAGTTTAGATAATACAGGTATAATCTCATAGGAATTTATAGGGAGTGATTATTAGATAATATATGTATTATAACATAGTTGCCTATGGGGAGTGATTATTTTCTGAATTCTGCCGTATAGATTTGTGATATAGTGGTAGAGGTGGACCAAGAGAACTGCTTCAACCTTTACTGATATTCAAAGTGACAGAGCCAACGTTTTGCCATTGTTTCAAAGGAGTCTGCAAATTCAGTTGAGACCATGCTGGCTTTTTTAGGGAGAAGGGCTAAAAATATATACATGTTGCTAAGTGAGAGCTGTGATTCATAGATAGTAACAGGATTTTATCATGCCCTGGGATTTCTCACTTTAATGTCTGGGGTGGCAGCTGCGCTTACTGATAACTCTGTGGAGTCTCAGTGTTGGGTAATGCTGCCACCAGCTCTGCAGAACTGTGTACACAGATTATGCAGGAGAGACATTCTTGTCCGCAAATATGCATAAATAGTATAAACAGTAGCCTTGAGAAAACAAACAAGAAAACCCCACTACTGTCAGTTCCAGCAGCCCTGTCTGTTAGGAAAAAGGATATTTAGCAGGCACATACTAAATTTGCTCTTCTATCACTGTAGAGACAGGGAAAAAAATCCTGCTCGTGTAAGGTTGGACATTTCTTCATTTGTTAGCAGCATTCAACAGGAATAACCATTTGTTTGGTGACATTTTGCTATTCTAAGTACTGAGACTGGAGGCGGGAGGGATCACACGTGTCATCACTTGCTACTTTTTTAAACAAGAGGAAAAATGAATGGTAGGAGCTGAAAGAAAGGGAGATGGAAGGGGATATATTTAACAAACACTCTCATAACCCCGGTATTTGTTATTATTACTATTTTTTAGAATATCATTTTATTCAGAATTCCATGAACAATAAACTACAAGATAATGCATGAGATATACTCATAAGGAACAATTATTCAGTGCCTAACAAATGTACTGGATATATGGGAGTAAGTTTTGCAATCTTTGACTTCACGAGAGGATATTTCAGTCTGTAACCCTGGGTTTTCAGCAACTTATTAAAAGCGATCTACAAAAAAGCAAAGTAGTTGTCATCATCATTGTCACCATCCTCATGTTTATTATTTCTTCTACAGTAGCAGCCATTGAATCAGGGGTAGATAGCACTAATTCCAGACTTTAAGAAAGTTTAAAGTTAAGCAAATGCCTAAAAGCCGCCACCTGGTGGTCAGCGGCCGTCACCGCAGCCCCTGGGCTCTCCCTGAGCCGCCAGCAGTGGCGCTCCAGCGAGGTCCAGGAAGGCTTGGGGGGCATGTGGGAAGGAAGGAATAACAATAAGTAAGCAAATAAATAAATGAATAAATAAATAAATAAATAAAGCCTTAGAAGAGCCTGAGAGAAAATAAAAATCCATCCATAACTTTCGTAGATCACATTAGGAACCAGGGTGGGAGAGAAAGCAGGAGTGGGACTGTCTTCTGGTTAGCTAAGGGATAACAGCTTACAAAATCTGCCTGATTTGTAGGGCTATCAGCTGGCATATCGAAGAATCTCATTTGTAGAACTTACTGCAGCTTTAGATAAAAAAAAATGAGCCTGTCTAGCTCAGATTACAGCTGTAATAGTGAATTAAAATATTAATCAACTATTTGGACTTCCAGGCATACTTCAATCATGTTCATGCTATATAATTCCCTTCTGGCATCTTAGCTCTTTGCGGTATGCTGAATAAGTCCACCTGTAACTGCCAGGACAATACAGTATGATGCAGGGTCAGGGTACGGGATTCTTGACTTGTTTTATTGCCTTCAACTATTAATTATTAATATTACAGGACATGAATTTGCAAGGAATTAAAATATAAACTTTTCAAACTGAATAAATCAGTAACCAGCTGTCAAGCAGAGGTTTTTCTGAATTTATGCTGCAGTTTATCTATAACTTTCTTAGATCTTCTTCTTCTTCTTCTTCTTTTTTTTTCCTGTTGTTTCACATTTCTCAAAACACTTGTCATATCTTGTGGACATTAGGATCTAAAGGAGATGAAAGCATTTGACTCAAAGGATGGGAGGGATATGTTGGGTCAAAATACATCATGTTTCCATGTCAAACTCTTCAGTAGTTGGACTGCTCTTAAGAGTGCAGAGGAGAGCTCTTACCAAGTGCTCTCACTGTACTAGCAGGGCTGCTTTTACAGCTCAAAAGTTACCTAAATACACTGTACATCAGCCACATTTGGCCTGACAGAAGAGCAGGTAACAAGCCTAATGGCCCTCACATTACTGCAGTTTACAGCTTGGCTAGAAAGCTAGGACAAGGGGCAACTCCAACCCACAAGCCAAGACTCATGTCAGAGGCTACAGCTCTCTATGGAGTTAATAGTGTTTGGAGTACAGGGCAGCTGTGCTGGGTTATCTCCTGCTCAAGGCAGTCTGGTGTCAGAAAACTCCATGTTGTCCCTTGAGAGTTTCGTTTTCCAGCAGGGCTTTCCTTGCACCCAATGGGATTCTTCCATACATGGGTCCCCAGAAGCTTTCCCTGCCTCTCCCTTTATTGCATGGTGAATGTAAGGTCCTAAATATAAACTGTTCTGAACTACTCATAGCTGCCTAAAGTGAACAAAGCCCGTGCTGCACATCCCTCCCCAGAGCAAGAGTTTTGCTGCTGGCTCCCTTAATTACTATATATAAAACAAGTTTTGCAGATTTTGAGAACAATTAACAGAGTGCAAATCCCTTCTCCACTGCTGCAGCTCTTATCTTAAGAGAAGGGCGATGATAACAGCAGGAGTTTCTTCTTTTAGAGCCTGACCTGCTGAATGCTGCTGAGGTAAGGCAGAAGAAGGTGCCTGGGGTGCTGCTCGTATCACTCAGCCCTGGATAAATGTGCGTGTCAGGGAATTTAAGGGCTACAACTCTGGAATCTGTCTTAAGTGAAAAATATGCTAAAAATGTGCAGCTGAGCTCAGGATCTAGTTGGTTTCTCTTATCTTTTCTTAGACAATAAATACCCTGGAGAACAACTTAAATGGGGATTGCTGTCCTAGCAGTATGGTAGGAACTTTTTCATCCACTTTCCGAAAAGGCATTTGCATGGATAGATGAGTAATGCATGTACATTATAATAATAACAAAATCTCTGCTTATACTGGAGGGAAACAAATCACTCTGGCCCACTGTATAGCAAATTATCTCTCTTTTTCCTGCTTAATTCTGGGGCCTGAGAATGTTAGCCAGGCTCCTCATATTCTCTGTGCCCTCAGATTCCACCTCTGTCACTAGGTCTGCTTGCAAGAGGGTATATAAAAAGTGCAAAAGTGCCTGCAAAAGTGGTGTGGATTATCAGCTCAGTTTAATTTATAACTGGCATGGCTGGAATAACTCAGATAGATAGGTTCTCGATTATGCTCAACCACTGACTACCTTTATCATTTTGACTTTTTTAATATGCCTATACAAAAAGTTACCCAATCCTTCCTCTGTTTATTATCTTTTAGGAAACCGAAAGAAATGCCTGTTGTGCCTGGCTATAATCAATGTTGTGTTTGTTTGCATTCACCACGCATCCAGGTTCATGGAAAGATAAGGCCCGCAGTATTCAAAAAAAAAATCTCATTTTTCCTTAAGAAAAAAAAAAGATCAATTCAAGGACAGTGTGATTTTCTTTTGAGTGAACTGTTTCTACTCTTTTTCAAAACCATCTCTAGACAAGAAGAGTTACTCAATTAAATCTAATTATTGAAGTCATGATGAGTGACTCCATATAATATGAAAATGTGTAAACACACGTAATACAGAAACAGAAGAAAAACCTGAATCATTCATAATCAAAGTTTTGCTGGCTAAAAGCTTAGTTGCAAAGGTATCTAATAGCCATGGAAAAAGATGTGGGTTAAACAGTATGTGTTTTTTAAGTTTTCATATATGTGATATATGTCCTGTATAATACAAACAAAATATAACTCTGACATTACAAAGAATGAAGCACCCATCTTTCCTATCCCCATCTTATAACTGCAGATATAAGAAAGTTGGGAATTGTTTAATCCTTACTACATAATAATGACAAATAATGATTAAGAAGCAAATTTTCTTCATTCATAAGAAAGTTCCCAGTACTTTGATATATGTCATAATTCAGATCCATTGCAGTTCTCAAAAGCTGGGCTAATAAATTATTAGTTAACAAATCCTTTCACTGTTCAGTTACATGTGTGAGAAGGAGATAGGAAATTGTGTTTCAGTAGGAGCTCTTTATATATCTGTTAGGCAAAAGTGATTTTACAGGAAGAAGTAATTCTTACCTCTTTGCCTGAATTCCTGTAGGATAGTATCGGGAACAAGATATGCCATCCCAAGCACAGTAGGGATCTCGAGCGAGACAGCAGTCGGCACAGGCTGTACCGTACATGTCACACTGATGGAACTTGATTTGCGCTATGACCGACTCAGACCCAACATAGAGCTGTTGCTGTAGAAAACATGGCACATTCAGTTAATCTCTTAAAACTTCTGTAGCTGTTTTTTTTTTCCCTAAAACATGTATATATAAATATATATATACACACACACAAGTATGGTTGCTTGCAACTTGTGCATCCACTGTGTGCCTGAAGGTAGAAGGGTTATTCTGTAAGAAAGCCTTCAATTACAGATTAACTCTAGTGCGTGAGGACAAAAGAGTAGAGAGAAGGTAAAAAGAAAGGTTTATTTGATCATTTCCTAGCTTCCAAGTTTCAAATCTATAAGTCAGCATCTGAATAGTGAGGTTTTATGTTTGTATTTCTCCCTCAGTGTAGTTTCTTGTTTCTCTTTTCATTTGCCTGTAACATAATCAATCTGAGAAAGTAACGTGATGTGAACAATTTTAATCAAAGAAGTTCAGATTTACCAAAATTGTAAGTCTTAAAATGGGAGTTATCAGGTAAAATCAACTGTTGATGTGATTACTTACAATATTAGGGACATATTCACATGCACAGTAGTATTGTGATTTGTATTATCCTTAAGTACATAAATTATAGACAGACTTTTTCTTTCTAGTACTGTGAAATATTTCTATGCAAATTGATTGATTCATTTTTTCATCAAATTATTTCATTTTTTTTCCAGCACTAATTTTAAGTCTCTTTCAATTTTCTAAAGTCACATAATTGTTCTATTCAAAGCAAATGAAAGATGATCAGTCTGATTCATAGGAGGCTGACATAATAAATTCAGGAGAGAATAGCTTGAATTTACAGAGAATTTGAAAAATATCTTGCTGATAAATGTAAATGGAATAAACACAGAAATAAACAGTGTTCATTGCAATGCAAACTGCATGAGCACTGCTTACTTTCATGGAATGCCAGTCAGAAAAAGGACTCCTAATGGATACTACATTATGTTTATTGTAATCACCAAACTTCCTCTCTAATTCTAACCCTCAGACCAAGTCTTCAAAATCTTATGTTTTATAATTGTTTAAGGCTGGAAAATATATATAGCTCATTTATTCTGAGCTGCCTATTCCAAGACATGAAATTTAATCCAGACACACACTTCTTATTCCTAATTACACCTATGTTTCTATGTTTATTTAGGCCATAAAATTTAAACTCCCAAAAATGCCAGAGGAAAAGGAAAGACTTATAACAGCAATGCAAGTAACTCAAGAGGGCAGACATCCTTCTTGCCTGCAAAGCTTGCAGTACGACTGTCCTAAAAGCATGAGCAATACTTTCAGTGAGACATAAAAGCTGAGCTTTTCTCTTTCTTCTCTTAGCAGCGGTAATGTCTACCTCAACTACTTGCGCACCAGAGGAGGGAAAAAATCATTCAAAACCTCTTTTTTTTTGACCTTGGAGTTAGTCTGTCAAGGTCCTTACAATCAGCACAAATAATAGGGCAGAGAAGCTACATAATCTTTTTTCCCCTCACAAGCACAATTAAATCGTACTTTCACCCACAGATCTCATTCTGAGGAGACAATTATTGGTGCCAATCCTGACACTAGGAGGTATTCCAACATTAAATTAAATGGATCCTATTTCAGGAATAAATTCATCTGTCATCAACGAATTGAACTTACTTACTCAGTCTTGCTATTGCTTTATTATCAGTTCTGTGTATCCCCACCACACACACACACACACACACAATAGGAAGCCATTCTGATGGCTGACTTTTTATATTTGGTTCTCTTTATATAGTTCTTTTTTTTTATGTTTGGTTCTTTTTCAGTCTCCTCTGATATCTTGCCTTGACTTTTTACAAGAAAGTTTATTCTTCAGACAGTGATCGCTTTGGTGGCCCTTCTACAGTTCTCTCCAGAATTTCCATATCCTCTTGAATTAGTGTAGTTGGTAACAGCAGCCCTTTCATGAACTGGTTGCAACAGAGACAGATTACCTCACTTTTTATGCAACATCTCCTTTTTACACTTCCACCACAAACTTTTAACTGCAACATTTTTACAGGCGAAGGAAATTTCCAAAGCAATACCTAACTCCTTCTCCAAATAATCACTTAGGTGAGTACTGGACAAGCTTGCCTCCAGAGCTTCTTCCACAGTCCACAGAAAAAAAAAGATAGATTCTTTCAGAAAAAAAAAATCAGAAAAAAAAATAGAATCATCCTAAGAGAAATTTGTCTTTCTACTCTAATATAGAAAGAATATGAATCAATAAACCACACAGACAGAACTGATTTGTTTGGGTAAAACCCTCCTCCTGTTAATGCAATCTTCATTTCATTGCTTGCACGTAACTCCATTATGTGTACCCAATGTTACGTCACATGTCCATACTAAGATAAAATCGTCTGGTGCTACTGTTGATGTCTGGGACAAGGTAATGATGAGATCTACCTACAAGAGTAATCAAATGAGGTATTTGTGTTAGACTAGCAGAAACTCAGCCATGGTGAATTGAATTGAATCAGAACAGCCCTGCCTTTCACGGGGAGCAAACACTGAACATGTGGGAGTGCCAGTAAGGATCGCTTTGCACTGGTATCCCCATCAGCCTGAATTTAGTCTATCAGCATTTATCAGCAAGGATCTCCTCCTAGAGTTTCTGTATCCATCAAGTTAATCCCTGCTGTGATTACTATGCCAATAATTCATGAATCAGATACTGCCTTTTTCTTGCTTTGAAATGAATAGTAGTATGAACTAAGGAGATTTAAACAGTTTTAATTTTAGACTTGAAAAACATAAGTGGTTCACAAAGAAACAGAACATGTTAACTCTAAGTTTATGTTACAAAACATTATTAGACTGGATCTCACTAGTCTGCTGTTTCTATATATTTTATACCTTTGTTACATAAGAGTTATACAGTCTTCATATTTTAAACTCATCAAATACTTGCCCTTTTTGAAGAGATTTCCATAGAAATGACGGGAACTGGCTCCTAGGAAATAAGAAACAAATGCCTTTTTACCATCACAATAAATTAGGTATAATAGTGTTGATTATTACTTATTATGTGCAGCTCTGGTAAATGTTTTAATTTTCTTTGAGTTCTGTTGCTATAGGAAAGTGTAAGGAAATTGTGTTTTTGAGAATTTTTGCTTTAAAGGAGTTTGTTTAAAAATCAACCAACCAAAACCTATAATTCAAGATTATCAGATCCACAGGAATGCTGCAATTGCCCTGTCAAACATGACATCTTGCCACTGCTAAATACTTCTTGTGCTACTTGAGAGTGGTAAGTGGAGTGTTCTTTATAGCAAAACATTAACTGGAGATAAGATAAATATAACAGGAATTTCTTCTCCTAGCATTTCCTCTTTGTCTTCTGCTCAGGTTTCCTGGGATAAAAGTAAGACACAGCCCTTAACAGACATATTGAAAACAAGGAGTATCAAGAGGAGCAATTTCAGTGCTTCTCCCCAGATGACAAGTCTATAGACACAGTGCTTATAAATTCAGGTTGGTGTCAATTTAAATACCTAAATTTGGATGTTAGGCCTTGCCTATGGAGTAGTTAGTTAGGCTTCCTACTTTATATGGTTTTATATGGCATGAAGTGCTGTGAATACTAAGTATAAGGATTTCATTTTATCACATGGGCCACACGCCAGATACTGAGGGCTAGTCTTGATCAATGGCTAGATAACATAATGGTGGCTTGTCTCAGTAGGACTCTGGTTTTCCTGTAGTAAACACTGTTTAAATTGCCTCACACTTTTTGAACTTTGCTCTTTTTCTTGCTGGACTTTCATCAAGCTTTAGAGATTCTAGGTAAATTTTTGTGCTTGCAGTTATATCCTTTTAAATACTTACTAGGTTATGAGATTAAAAAAAATAAAATACAGTAAGTTTCTAATAAAAATTGCACTATTTAAACAGAGTGCTTCAGTACTTGGGCTGCAACTCCATTTCAGAAAAACTTCAGTACAAAATGAAGATTTCCTGCCATAAAATTACTAGATTTTTTTGACAGTTTCTTGTGTGTTTCTTTCACGTGTTAGGCATTTTATTCTGAAGCAAATTCAAACAGTGATATATGTGCTTTGTATACAGCACAATGCACCTTGAATACTTGCAGCTCTTCAAGAATCACTTCTTCCATTGATTCTTTGTCTTGATTGTAAATTGTAATTACTTTCAGCACAACTCCATTATCTGTGAAAGGATTAAAGAATGTTAGTGGTTATAACTAGTGGAAACTTTTAAATGACCTTCAACAAATTATTAAAATAACTACTTCAAACTAATAAAATTATAAATACATATAATCTGTTGCACATTGCTATTACTCTCACTGATGACAGTTCTTACTGTTAGAAAACATGGACATGTGACAATTTGTAAAACAAGACCCAGAAACACTGTGACATGCCTAAAATGATCTGACAAATAAGAGAGTCAAGAATACAGTTTAAATGGTCCTGATCTCCATAGTTAATTTACTAGCATTTTTCAAACTCAAAATCATAACTCTTTGATGATCTGCAAAAAGAACAAAGAGGACAGCAATGTAAGAAGAAATGAAAGCAGGCAGAAGCTCAGTTCCATCAAGGCAGGGAAATGTATAATGGTTTTAATTCTAGGAGATGAGATCTGATTTAATGCTAGTTAGGAAAATGCTAACTATCCTTAATAGCTGATAGCAGCTCTGCACCTCCAGGCAAGAGTACGAACACCTGCAGGGGTTCATTACAGGGGGTTCTCTCTCCCCCACTATGGACCACTGAGATGCTATTGAGCAGAGGATGTTAGTCAGCAGAAGATGGACCAGAGAAGGGCTGCACTTTTTAAAAGTTTAAGAAACACTGAAGTTTGGATCTTTCTCTCTGTCACTACAGAGAGAATTTCTCTGTTACAGGAAATTAAAAAACAAGAACAGCATCTGGTCTTCTACCACTTCAGCTTTGTCTTGCCAACTATTATTAGAATAGCCTTGCTTTCCTTAATCTGAAAATCTGTCATCAACTATGGCAAATATCGCTTCCTCTCTTCTGCTATTTTCAGTCATCTTTGATTTACAGGGGAAATATTCAGCAGACAAACACTGGGAAGAAACAGTTCAGGAAAAGATCAAAGGGGCAAACCTAAAGAAGAACCATTAAAAAGTGCGGTCATATACCACTGCTCAAAGAGCAAATGTAATCAAAGGCATCCATTTCGTGAGGGGACAGTTAAATTGCAGTTTGGGCTCAGATTTTCATAAATAAGTCCCTCTTCAAATCCTGTTGACAGACATGTGGAATGTTAGGCTTAACATGCAGACTTCTCCTTTCATAAACCTTTCTAACCTATGCAGCTATCCTAGGGAAACTCCTCCTATGCTGGAGGAGCCTGTACATTGATGTTACACTGCAGGTTTTGGACTCAGATGAAAGAAGATTAACTCTTTCCAACATTCTAATGCCAAGGGAACCTCTCGGTTTTGGTTGTTTTGTTTTGGACAAGAGTTTTGCTGGTGTAGAGATTGGGGAATTTGTATTAGATTCTCTAAAGCCAGAATACCTATGTTAGAATTTCTTGCCACCTGAGATTAGACATTTCAAGAAGTCTAAGCAGCTGCTGGGCACCAATCCAACACAGCTCTAAAGTACTTACTTAACTGTAAAGAGTAGTGCTACTGGTTTCAGCTTTGCTCAAAAGAGGACTTGTACACAGGTATTTGATACAATATCCCAGTTACAAATGCAAGTGCAAAATACGAAAAATCTGGTGACCACTATAAAATCTGCTGTAGGAATTATCTAGAGGCATAAGTGATGCAAATGATGGCCTAATCTTTTAGATCACATATTGATTTCAAAATTTAAAAAGCTTAGAAAACAGTACTAATATAAGCTTTTGTTGTTTCGCAAACATTATTGTTTTGAATGTTCTCAACACTGAAATGTGCTTATCAGATAAATTTCATTAGTAAAAAATAATTCATTGTAGGAGTGTTCCTTGACAAAGGGATTTGTGACACCATTGCTGTTGTCAAATGTGAATGTATGAATCCTTGGATACTTTCCAGATAGATTAGATGTGTCCAAATTCACATCTAGTTCCAAGTCTTTCTCTTATTTTATTTATTTATTTATTTATTTTTCTCACATACCTTTGCTGACTGCTTAGTATAAGGGCAGTTCTGTGATATATTTGAGCTTATTCATATTTGTTTGGTAAATGTTTAAGAATAATCCTCTTTAAACAAAGACTATACATTTTATGAAAACAGTGGAAGAGGAGGAAAAGAAATCTTGGCAGAAAGCTTCTAACAATTTCCTTTTGAACTGTAAACCTGGGGATCGTCTTCTTTCCTTGAGCTATGTCGTACGTAATGTAGGTTTAAAAGCTGTCATTTTGTTTTTAACAGTATCAGCTAGACTTGAGATCATCAGACTTGGGGAAGACAAACTTTGGAATAAAGCCAGTATCTTGCACTTATATTTTTGAAAATTGTATCACTTCTTTTTTGGTGGAGTCTCAGCTCAAAACTGAGTTATGCTCAATTCTGCTGAACTGCTTGTGTTCTTAAGTTTTAAAAATAAGTTCATTTGTTCAGGAATTGAATTTAAATATCATATTAAAAAAATCTTAATTCTACACTTAAATATATCTTCCCAGTCTTTTCAGCTGTTTTCAACCCTTGTTTTCTACCATTGCTTTTTATGTATAGCTTTAGATATGCAGTTAACATTTTTTTGCATGCTATCACTGTGGTGAAATGTATGTCTGGAATGACTGATCTCTTTTGTAAGGCAACTAGTCGTTTACCAATGAAGAGTAGCTTAGTCATCAAAGGGTGATTGTTTAAAATAAATGCTGGCTTTATCATTTCTGGACTGTACACAACTTAGCTTCATTCATTACAAAGTTCAGAAAGTTATTACCTCAGTATTTCTCTTAACTTTAATTTACCTGTGCCAATAAATAAGACATCATATTGCCCGTCTTCAGCTTCCACTCTATCCACTGCTATTTGCTTAAGATTGTACTTTCCATCTGTTTTAACTAGTATTGGTCTCTTATGAACAGGCTTGATGGGCTGATACATGAGTGGGTGGCTCCTTGCAAAATGGACAGCTTCATCAGGATAGTCTTTGGTGGTAGTGTACAGACCGCCATTTACTTTGCTGGCACACTGCAAAAACATAAAACACAGATTATCCCTGTGGTTTGGTAAAGAAATAGAGATGAGTCCAGGTTTCCAGGGGAAAGACAACTCTACACAAAGCCCAGCATAAAAATTACAGAAAACTACAGTAGGATCTGGGATAGTGTTTTGTCCACTGTACATGCATGTACATATGCATGTATGGTTACTAATGATAAGAAGCAGAGAAAGGAAATGCTGAGTTGAACCTTGTCATTCTCATGTCCAGGGAGAGCCATCCTAAGACATGCTAAAAGCTTATATTTGACCTCTTTTTTTCAGTTATATCTCTCCCTGAATGGAGTTTATGCACAGATAAATATTATCACACTCTTGATGCATATGTGTGAATGATATGAATACAATCAAATGTAAAAGCCAAAATTTTATGTAGGAAAATTAATCATATACGCAAGGTCTATTGATATCTTGGGGAGACAGTGAGGTCTGTACAACAACGTCAGACACATTTTCAAAAATATGCTTTTGTTTAAAATAAATTTTTATTTTATGAAGAGGTTGTAGGGGTGAAATTTTGAAAACTGAAACATTTAATATTCACAAAAAAAAAAAACGCCATAATGTTTATTTCTTCCCCAAATCTCTTTACCATAAATCCGTTAGGAAAGGAGAAAGTTGTGTAAAGACAGCAGAATAGCAATGCTTGACATCAATCTCTGGTTTAGTTAGTTTTTACTGTGAAATGTATCACCATAAGAAATTAAAATGATGCCCACAGCAACAGTAATTCTTGATCTCACGACTTCTAACAGTATTACATTTAATGCCAATTCCTAACTCATGAGGGCAGTATCACAGTTTAGCTTGAAATCCCAGTGTTTGCTTCGCTCACCCTACCATTTTGTAAAACAAATACACTTTATTTCAATGATTGATTGATTAAAAGAGGTTTACTCCTTTGGTCAAATGTGCAATTTAGGCATAATTTCATGTGTTAGGCATAGAAGTTAGTTTAAGATGCTTTGTAAAGGACAGGATATAGTGTTCCCAGTTGAACATTGATTCTACATTTCCAATCTGCCTCATGATGTCTAATTGAAACCATTTATGATCAAGCTGGAAATATTTCAGTAACTATTTACGTTCACATTTACAATGTGGTTTTAAGAAGCATTTCAAGCAAAGCCACAGTAGCAGGCTCTCCCTATTTAAATTGGGTTTTCAATCAATAAAATGAAATAAAATACTCTTTATGTTTACTGGAAACAGTAATTTTAAACTTGTGGTCAACTGTAATTGACAGTAACAAACTCCTGCACTTGTCAAGTGGGGCTCTGTTTGTTTCTACTTTTGGGGCTTAGCTACAGGAAAGTATTTGTTCACTGTTGACTTTGAAGTAATTGTCTAACCAACCTAGTGATGGAATTTCTCCGGCTGTTTGCAATAAAGAAACAGGTTTTGAACATTAAAACAGGCTAGATCTCTGCTTTTCATGCACCACACAGTGAATAGGCATTCAAAACGTTCACTGTTAAATGAACATGCATTGCCAAGTTCCCTTGCAAAGTTCTAGCCCTGGAGATATTTAATATAAATGATCCTTCACAGACTTTTCATTTTTAACCAAATAAATCTTTTTTTTTTTTTTTTTTTTTCCCAGAGAGAAACCAGCAGCTGCCCCTGAAGTCTATTAACATCATTTTTGAGGTGGCTAATGTCATTCTCAAAAGCATCACTATCTAATACACTAAGTGAATCAGCAGAGTAGGAACCTGGGTTATGGGAGAAGTAATGCTTCCAGCAGACGTTAGAGAGTGGAAGATTGCAAAGACTGTCTAACAGGGGTTTTCAATCTATTTAGCTTCAAGCTCTTTTCTCATTGCTTGCAGACTTTTTCTTTCCCCATTCAATCATTAAGATCAAAGAAAGATGATTCTTGGAGGTACTTAACCATAGTTTATTTTTGATTCTTTGTCACTGTCACTCATATATTTAACTGGCAATGGCAAAGGCTTCCATTTACCTGTGTGCTGACCATTCTTTGGAGTGTGAAAGCCAGCACTGTGGTCTAAAGCCCAACACAAACTATATTTTCATGCTACTGGATTTAAAAAACCTCTAAACAGTGCCCTGAATGAGCAGTGAAAAACAAACGTAAATTCTATTAACTAAGGCTGGCTAGTGAACTAGCCCAGCCTCCAGTGTGCTCTCCAACCTACAGAGACAGATAGGATTAAATTGATTACCACTTGGCACAGACCCAGTTCCACAGTTAGCTTGTTCTCTGATATTGGGAAAATTAATTGCTCTGTTCTTTCATATGTGTTTCAGCTCTTATGTTTTATCATTGTCAATTCTGCTAGAGTTCTAGTTTGACATCTATCTTTCTTCCTAAAGAACACCATTTAAACTTTCATTGTTAATGGATATCAAATATATGATGACTGTAGTGATTAATACTGAATTCCTGCTCATGCTTATCTCTGATCCAGGTAAGATTTCTAATGTGTTCTACTACCTGGGGAAAAAAGTAATATAACTGAGAATTTGGACCACATCTTCCCTCTGAAATACACAGCAATTCTACAGTTCAGGCATGGGATTGTCTCAGTTTTATTTGGTCATTTATAAATGTTATAATTTTTATATCAATGATCAAACAGGAAAGAATTCTCCTATTTCACTCAAATATTACTTATCTGTTTTTCTATCCTGACTCAATACCCATGACAGACTTTGATCCACATCAGACAAGGGAAGAAAAAGCATTTGGTATTGACATCAGCATTATTATAGTGATAATTAACTAGTCAATGTGGTTAAATCATATTTAGAGTGTTTAAATACCAGACAAGCTCTTTTATGAAGCATCCTCTTCTGCATTTAGACTTGTGCCTTTAACCTCAAGAGAAGCAGAGGAAAATCGTAATTTAAAGTGAAAGAGGATGTGTATTTAAAATCATGCTACAGGGAGAAAAGCCATATTGTCATGATAAGTTAATAGGGCTTTCACCTCTCATTTCTGTGATTCAGTGATAAATGAATTGCATACAATGTTTACTTATGCATATGAGTGTTTTTATTATAAAGGAGAATATTGATTCAGTTAGCAAGCAAAAAATAACATCAATAGTAAAGCTCCAGCAACAGTTTATTCCACTGCTAAGATCAAGAGAACAAACTCCCAGCCTATAGAGGATAAAGAGGTGAAGTGTGAAAGTTGTATGCGGATTTTAGAGCTATGAGAAGTATCTCAACGCCTCAAAGTCAAGAATCTGAAAAGGTGTGGGGAGAAGAAGAAATCTCCAATCTGATCCTTCCCTGGGTTATCCTGGCATTGCCTACTGTGATTTCTTTGCCTTCGGCAGGATTCCTCCTGACTTGGAGCAGGATGTGAAAGGTGAGGGAGACACTGGCTGTGCCTGACCTGCGAGACAGGTCTCTGCGATGCAAAGAGCACCCTCAAGTACCACTGATAGGCAGTGGCATGCGGGACTGCTCTCCTCACACCCCGACCTGGTGAAAATCCCTGCCTAAGATATTTCTATGATAAAAGCTTCAGAAACACCTAAAAAGAGGGGGAAATAGAAACAAAGCTTGAGATGAGGATTATGTGTGATACCTGTGAAAAATCAACAGACATTAGAAATTCCTCACAGAAATTCAGTACTTCTGTAAGTAATGTCAGTGATTTGCTCCAGAAACTTTATTCAACGACTGAAGCACATAAATACCGAAAAGAACAACCCTTCTGCTGACAGCTCCTGTATAACTTCAGAGTATCCTGTAGTAGATGCCAGCTGAATTGTATATTCAAAATATGTCTTGTTTCTTTTCTTCATTTGCTTCTTTCCACTCAGGAAAGAGAAATGTTTATAAAGAAACATATGTGAAAATTATGGAAAGCCTGAGCATTTTCACTCAGGAATCTGATCTGGGGGTCATAAAATCTAACTCACTGATCTCTCTGAGCAAAGCAACATATTTAAGCATGCTGGATCATTACTTCTAGAACGAACCAAGCTTGATAAAAGGTTCTCCAATGGTGGAGGATTTGCCTCAGAAAATGATTCTTCTGATTAGTTACATTTGTTAAGATCTGCATCTAATTTCTATTCTTGCACTGATCTAAGTTATTGAAATGTGATGTTTTCAAAAAGGAGGTGAAAAAAAGGAATCAGAACCAAGCAATTTAACAACACAAAATTATCCTTCCCCTCCTCCTCGCTTTAACATTTTCTCACTCTATCAATCACAAACTTCTATGGTTTGGCAGACAATAGAAAGAATTGCCTTGTGTAAGTATCTTCCTCTGTATCTGAACGTAGCATCTGATAAAACTTCTAGAGATGCCTCTCCTTTGCTTATTGCCTAAGATCCTAACTTTGGCATCATAGGAACTAATCACAGAACTTCATAGGATTTTGAAAAACTCTATGTACTTGACTCCTGTGATTTCCTTTGTGAAAAATCTATTGTTATAGTGACTGATAGAACTTTCTGCCATTTCACACAATTCCACAAATACTAGAATATACTTATATTTAAGTATATATATCCTAAACTGTGAAATCAATAAGACTTGTACATTAGTACTAGGCTATTTTTTTCTTTCCAAATTCACTTACATTAACAAAAGAGTAGAGAATAGATTGTACTTACTGAACCAGGTCTAGGATAAGGTACTTTTCCTTCATATAGAGCCCAGTGGTATTCTGGTCCTTCTTTATGAGCGTATGGTCCATTGAAAGCTGCTCGAACACTTGCCATATGGTAGACACATATAGCATATCCTCTAAATATATTGCTGTAAAGTAAAATTCAAAGACATTATTAAAACTGTATATCACACATTCATTACATGTAATAATGGTGTTACTATGTAATTAAGCCTATTTCAACGGTGCGATGGGAAAAAAAAATCTTCATGTTTCCTGTATGCTTTTCTCATAACCACTGTGTCTGATGTTCTTTAATGCAGTATTTAACATATTTATAACATTTCTTTGAGACATCTTGGTACTGTTATACCACAATTTGGGGTTGGTAAACAGACATACTAGCTCTAAATTACTTGTTTACAGACAGACAAAAACAGGCAACAAGACTCAGGTCTTTTTGTCTTTGACTAGTGATCTGAACAGTTGAGTATTTTCCTTCTCTTAACTTTTTCCTATTCTTTGCCTCTTGGAAAGGATATTGACAGAAATGAACAAGAATCTTTCTATAATATTGGACAGGAATATTGGAGAGACCATAAAGATCACTGTATAGATCAACCTTTATGAAAGCATCTTTGCCACTTCTAAATTTTAGGAACAAAGTTCCAAGAATAATTTTTTTTCTTTTTTTTTTTATGTAGCCATTAATGATACCAACAAAACAATCATCTCTGAGGAATCCATAACTTTAACTAGGTATGATCTAATTAATTCATATTGTTTGCATAGTGAAGCAGTAAGAAATGCTAGGTACCTGCATCCCTAGTAGACCAGATCTGCCATACTTCCAAAAATGTGAATCGGGAGACCAAAATGTTGGCAATAACACAGCTGCTCCCCTCAACCAGTAGCAGCCTAAGTTAACCATTAGATCACTACAAAACAGTGCAGCATGCTAACACATATGATGCAGCTACTATCTCCTCACTAGGTTGTTCAAACTTTCCCCTACTGCTGTTATAATTTATTCTAGTTGTTTACCTTGTAGTGTTGAAGAGTCCAAATATCACTGGGTTTTTGTTATCCCGAGTTTGTAGTAAAAACACATCCTCTGTAAAATGTAAATGCAGTGTTATTGATAGCAAAGTGCTTTTCTCAGTCCCAAAAGAGACAGTTTGTTGTTTGTTAAAGGCGTGGTCTTTCTTGACTCATATATGTTACTTGATTTCATGCAGGTATTAAAATCTTTAAAAAAAATCTTAAAAAAAGAGTAAGTAAAGGCATAACTGATCATAGTCAACTCTGTACGTATAAAGATTCATATATCCTGGAATCAAAACACTGTCAACTATTTTTTCTTAATGAAAACAAGTACAGTATTTAAGGGATGAATTATCATAATATCATATGATTTTTTTTGTTCTATTTCAGACTAGGATATTTACCTAATTCATCAAAATGTGTATCAATTCCATTTCTCCCTGGCACAGAGCAGACTAGCCTGGTTTTGAGGAAAGTGCTCCATTTATTCACCAGCATCCGTTGTCCTCCCATATCATTCTGTGCAGAAAGAAGCAAATGCTGTAATTTGATGAGTAAGTCCAGAAGCACAAAAAGCTCTGCTGAATTACCCACTCATATATTGCAATGGCAAAGCATACATTTTCAAAACACATGTGAATTACTGATACTGTTTCTCTGCAGTCAGTTGCCACCAAGATTACAATGATCATGTCCAGCTGTTCATAAAGAGCCATATCATATCAATGAGTAGTTTGAACTGTTATAACCCTTTTATATTTTTCTTTACTGGGCTTACATTGCACTTCAGCAAAGCTTAGCTTTGCTTTAGAAACTCACTGCTTCACTGGTGTCTTGAATCTGTCTATACAGTAGGTACAGCTGTGACTGAAGGAAATGCAAGTATCTACATGGTGCTCTAACAATGTCTCAGAAACTCAAAACAATTTGTCCTTTGTTGTGCCTGACTGTTGAGACTATAAAGAAGGGGAGAAGGATTAGTACTACTTAGTAGAAGGGCTCTGTAACCTTCAGGTAGCACCCTCCAAAGCATACAAACCTTTATACTCAGGTAGATTGTATAACTGAACTATAAAACTGTTTTAAGTTCACAAGACTCTTCTCAAAACATTACTGAAATTAACTGATGTACTCAACTTTACATCAATATCTTACAAAACCAGAAAAATAGAAATAGATTAGCAGCTCCTGAATTCTCAAGTCTGGACAACTCAGCTGAAAATGTGAAAGCTGGAAAAAACATTTATTAGTAGTCTTATTATACTCTGTATTTTTGGTATTAAATTTTATTTATAGCATACAGAGGGGAAGTTAGCTTTAGTTAGCTAGGGTCTAGATGATAATGCATGCAGAGTTTTGGACCTGTGGAGGATAAAGGTCTTAGGATTTTGATTAACCCATGTTTAGAGATAAAAAATTCAGGTGGATATATTTCAGAAAAGAGGGAACTGTTAAAATAATATATTCTGAGTTTTAACAGAACATAGGCTACATGCGTTAACTGATGCTATATTTGCCTGGAGGGTAAGGTAAAGGACTGAAAAAGTAACTTTTTTTTTTTTTTTCCCTTTCAACTAGCGAATAAAGAAAAAAGCCTTACCGCACACACACGTCCTACTCTGGTATAGATGGCATGGGTGCTCGTCTCTGCCTCCAATGCTTTTTCAGTGAAGAAGAAATATACTTTGTTATCATCATGGTCCTCATTGTCAGGAATCATGTAAGAGCCAACAAACTTTGGTTCTTTAAAAGAAAATAAAGATGGGTAGAGGACTAAGTTAATTAAAACATTATTTACTTCGATCTTTAAAATCAATTAGTAACAAGAAGGAAAACAAAATGAAAGAATGAAATATTTGCTAGTCAGAGAACTATTGGGGAACAGGGTGATTGAAACAGGAAAAAAATATCATGTGTGTAAATACCTATGTAACATGTGGAAAATATTAGTATTAAACTATTCTTGTAGCTCCAACTCACAATCAATATTTCTTTTTTTATGTGAACAAAAAATCTCTTTCCAGTCCTGTTCTCTGGGGTTTATGTATTTTAATTTGGGTTAGAATAAAATCTGGCGGTGTATTCACTAACACTGATAGGAATGCCAACCTCAACTTCAGCCAAACAGCCTGTTAGATAAAGAAAAAGGTCTGATAGTTCAGCCAATAGATGGTGTACTGTCTCATAGTCAGAAGACTGTTTGTGTGCTTCTGTTGTGAAATAAAAACCTTCTGAAATTTTCCTTGTTTTAACTTTTCACTGCTAAATTGAAACTGCAAAGTTTGAACTGTAGTCTGTGCTGTCTGCCTTTTAATGTAAAACCAGGCAGAACAATGAACAATTCCATCCACAGGACTGGGATGGAGCTTTTACTAGTTTGTTAAATGAGAATGGCATTCATTTCATTGGCAAGAGTTGTTAAGAAGCAGTGAATAACATAAGCATTTTCTAAATTATTCTTCTGTATGAAAATAGTCTTATTGTTAATATATTGCTAGAGAACCTTTGCTTGATCATTTTGTGAAGGAGTTTTCATAGTGTATTTAATAGTATTCTCTTGTTGCAAATTCAAAATTTAAAGTATGGAAGAAACTAAATGTCTGAGCCAAGTTTTGCTGAAATAAAAAAAAAAGATGATTTAATCAAATTCATCTACAGTTGGGTATGTATGCATGGATAACATATTGTTAATTTCTGTTTAACAGAAGTTTTCTAGTCATATAAAACACCTCTGGTCCCATGTTCTTCCTTCTTCTACTTCCTGTACCTTTCAGCAGACGTTCATTATCCGGTTCAGTTCGGATATGTGACATACGATTCATAGTATGAAACAGAGCAGCATCTCTTCCCCAGTAGTCGCTGTAGAGTCCAGTAAAAAGTTCACCACCTATGGTCATACATTAAAAAAAAACCACCATTACCTATGATGGGAAAATACAAGGCTCATTAGCCTTTGATGAAATTAGTGTGAGAAGGTGAGTACATTCTTTAAAGAACAGGCAGACATTGCTCCAATCTATAGTACAACACATTTACTTTTGGAAGAGGATGAGGTTTTGAAAGTTCATTAATGGGTGCGATCCTGCGCCATGTGCTCTAGGTGTCCCCTGCTTGAGCAGGGGGCTGGACTAGATGATCCCTAGAAGTTCCTGCCAACCTCAACCATTATTTCCAAAACTGACTCAATGACTTAGGGATAGATTTGCACACACAAAGGGTAACATCTAACTGCAACATCTGGCTCCTAAATGGCCTAGGTGACTAGTCCTAGCAACACTTACCATTTACAAGCACCTAAGCATTTACGAGCATAAAGATCTCACTTTGCTTCTGGCTTGGCTTCTGAGCAAATTACAAACAGCAATTTTCCCCTGTAGTTATAAATGGGTGCATTAACTGACCAAGCATTAGGAATAATATATTTTATATATATGCAGGATTAAATCAAAAATGTTAGGCCTAATAATAAAAGTAGACAGTTGCCGTCACTAGGTGGCAACCTTATGTTATAAAATAACACAGCAGGCTTAAACTGCATATAAAGAAGGAAATTAAGTATTTCCAGTTTTTGGATAATCTGAGGGAAGGTTTCAGTGACACAGTTTCCTATCTCCTAACCAAAATAAACGCGACTGATCAATTCAAATAACATTGGTTGTCATTTATTAAGGATTAGAGCAAAAGTAAAAATTTTGCTCACTGGTCCCCCTCAAAGGGTGAATCTTAGTTCTGCTAAGAGACATATGTGAATTTAAGGACACTGGAAGTCTAAATAATAATTCTGAAAAGTTTAGAGGAGTTTGGCAGCTGGGGTTGGTTCACAGACCTCTTGATACAGAGCTGAGCATGGTTTTCCCTTAGGTTACACCTCACGAAGAATGGATATTGCCTTATAAAATATATGGTTGTGGCTTACTGTAAAATATTGGCAAGTGAAATTAAAAGTAAATATAAATATAAAAGTAAATTATTACATCAGTAGGAGTTAACCAAAACTAACAGAGTGTTTTTTTTTTTCTTTTTTAAATAACTGAGAGGTGCTTAAACAGCAAAACTTGCCAATGTCTGAATAATGTTCCAGACAATGTTTGCAACTAAAACTAATGACTGACATCAGTCATAAAACTCCCTTTAAAATTTTCCATTGCATAAATATATCAGACTGTTTTTTGTTTTATTGCAGATTATGGTGCAATAAAACCAAAACATGATGCTTCTATCTTTTCAACAGGATAATGAAACATGAAAAGACATCAGTAACGATTCTTCACATAAGGCTATGGGTTCAGATGGACATGTAGGAGTCCTGACATTCAGAAGTTCTGACATGGTGCTTATTCATTCTGATTAACTCATGTAAAAAGTGTAACTATGTATGTGACTAACTTGCTGGTGCAGCACCAATGTTGATGCGCTCCACCATCAGAGTAGCTGATTGCTAATTTTATCTACGACATCCTGGCAGCAGCTCTAAACATCTCAATATTGGCTCAGTATTGTTCCATGAAATATATTGTACAGATACAAAAATCTGATTTTTATCCTGGAATGCGACTAAACACAGGACAAGTAACAAATGTGAACAGAGAGGCAAAGTACTCAGGAAAGTAATGAGATAATCCTAATCATAGCTGGTAAAGATCTCAACACAAAAAACATTCAACATAATTCTGAAAACTTTTACACTTTTGTCTTTAAGAGGATCTTTGCTTTTCCTCTTCAATAGGCTAATAATCATGTCTTTTTAATCTGTATTTAAAATTTTAAACCCTGGTAGGTTCTTCAATATGTAGACGTTATTTAAGGTTGTGTTTTGAAACATCTTGGCTAGATTTCTATTTTTTTTCCCCATCTATTGAAAAGATCTAGCTACTATACGAACACCTTACCCCTATCTTGGTCATAGGGTTTTATATTGAGGGTCAATCACGGTAATAAACTAATATTTTCTAGCAAAATTTTATTGTAAATGGGGCAATTTCACAGACCTTTTACCAGTTCTTACCTCTTTCAGTAAAAGATCAACTTCAGGAGGGTTAGTATAAACATATATTTGAGAATTACTTGCTAAAATCTAACTGATATCACATCTTGATTTCTTCAGCTAAAAAAAAATATTCCAATACCCTAATGCTATGCTTTTAATTCAAGTGATAACAGGAGACGTTTTAGGTATTCATTTGGCTACTATTAATTTTCAGAAAGCAAGTACACCAAAATTTAATTTGGAACACTTAAGAGATCTTTTATCTAATTTTTGGAGGGAAAATGAAATAAATCAAACACAGTGTTTTTTCCTGTAAAATCAACAGGAATTCCAAATGATGAGTGTTAAACAGGTTGAAGCACAAAATCTTACAAAATAGTAATAATTTTTCAAACATTATATAGAACTCTGTTTTCTGTATTTTAATTGTTTAATGAAGCATCTAGCTATTGTAGTCATACACTGTAAGCATATATGCTATTCATGGTGGGTGAGTTCATGGTGTTTCTTCAATCATAGTATAAATGATTATTGTGAAGAGTTTAAGACAAGTCTATCAAATTAGTACATAGGGTACATATTACCTCATATAAAACATTCAGGGAAGTATTTCACACACCTACCTCTATTCCTACCTACCTTTTTAATACATTTAAATGCTTTTTATATGCAAAGTTAAATAGAATATATAAAATAGTTTAATTTTGTTCTAGTCTCTTTTCACTACATACAAGTTTACTTTGTAAAAACATAAACATATTTTCAGCATCATATATGGTAGATAAAGTATCATTTGTATTATTCTCACTTTAAAATCCATGCATTATTGAGGTTCCTATTACTAATTAAGAAGGCATGCTTTGCATTGACTTTTGCATGGTTTTGCATGCTTTTTTGCATGCTTTTTGCATGCTTTGCATGGAGCTTTTTTGGACGCTCAGGTTGTTTTCAAATGTTATGCTCCCTGTCTAGTGCCATTAACTGTGACTGAATAAAGCGAAGAAACAGACAAGATACTTGAATCAGACAAGATGCAAGATTCTCTTGATTGAAAAATATTCATATATAATAGAAATTTAACACTACTTTCTGATGAAAATATTACAGCTTTCAAAGCATAAAATAATTTATCATTTTTCAAGAACTACTGTGGTCTAAGCTAATCAGTGTGCATTATCTGATATCAAAAGCAGCTTTGGCTATTGAAAGCAGATGGGAGAGTTCATTAGAAATGAAAACCAAGCAGTTTAAATTCAATTTATCTAAACACGTACATTTTATTCAACTGGTCTGCCATCCAACATCCGTTCTGTTTCCTGATACTGACAATAAATTACCAGAAGTTAATTGTACATAAACTGAAGAAGTCATCACAAGCTACTTTACCAGAGAGTCAGATAACCTGTAATAAAACTTACTAGAGCATGGATATTTAGTTTTCAAGCCAAGTCACAAACTATTGTTCTGTTGAAGTAGGCATTTTAACTCAAGTGTTGAAACACATGAAGAGATACAGCCCAAAAACTTCTCTTTCATCCTAAAGGAATCTATAGCTATATCTGCTTCTAATTAGGTATGATACAGATGATGTTTCAAGCTGGATAGCTTCTAAACTTGTATTGAAGGTATGTAAAGTTTCCTTGTTAGTCTAATCTTCACTCTCTATCATTTGCCAACCCAGTGTAGGCTGGCGGGTATGAACCTGCATTAGTTCTGGAAGCAGATTTTGAATCATTCTGTTAGAGACGCAAAAGGCAAAGCTGGGATGTGAAAGCCTGCATTAACAGGTTTGTGTAAAAACTGGAGGCCACCGGCAGACCTTGGAGCTGGCTTCAGGGACGTATTACCCCCATCTTAGGGGAAATGCTTCAGTCTCCTGTGGCTACAGATTCTTTTTTATTTTTTATTTTTATTTTTTAAGTGGAGCTCACAAAGAGGAAGGAGACCCCTATGTTTGGGGAGAGAATATCTGGAGGACCAGCACTCTTGAGTACAGTGGCAGCTCTGATGAGGGGGACATGCTCACCATGGGCTGAAGCATAACCTCTGGCCGTATGAAGGAGCATCATTTTCCTTTAAAGCCCATTTAGCCTTAGAAGGCGCAACTTCATTTAAAAAAAAAAAAAAAAAGTCTTTAATACATGCCATATTTGCATCTAAGTTTTCCATCCTCTTCAAACTTGTATGTGCAAAGCTAAAAGAGCTACATACATTCTGTAGTCTGAAGCACAGCTTAAGGAATTAATTCTGTTTATCTGATAAATAGTCCATCTCCAGTTAGTAGAATACATCCATATGCAATTTTCTTTTGCATATTCTTCAGTAGCATTTACTTCCAACAGAAATGAAAAGAAATACCATTAAGAAAGTTGATATTTTTAAATAGCATTCTGTGATCACTTGAATTTTCTCAGAAAGAGTTGTAACCAAAATATTTGAAAGATGATTTCACTGGAGAAGATATAATTGTATTCCTAGCAGAAAATACATTTTCAAGGAACTTGGCATCTTGAGAAACCACATTTTTTTTCACAGAAAAATCATTGACTTGATTTGAAATCCTATTTGTGTCTAAATGATAAGCAACCTTTTAAAGAAAACTGAAGAAACTTTGGGTTGTTTTTACAATCGTATTAGTGATCTGATAAAAATATGGCAACCCTGCTAATCTTGCTGCATTACAAAACTGTTATCCTTCTAAGCTAGATCTTATAACCTTTTGTCAGTGGGTGCCCAAGAACCACCATATATGAGAGAAACAGCTTATATAATAAACATCTTGCAGGTGAAACTATAAGTATCCATAGGACCTCCTGCAATTCAGGCAAACTAATGAATAGGCCAGAAACAGGAATATTAATCATCAGTCTTGAAGCGTTCAGTGGGACAATCTGGCTTGCATTTAAGTGAATAAAATTCACATTGATCTCACAGTAGGAACATGATCGGGTTAATTTATTTGCTTAGTTATATCTATGTGAAGGTTGTGAAGGACTTCAACATTAGACCATGATGTTTTCAGGCCTACAGCAAAATCCATGGGATGAATCTTTGTTTTCATGTCGAGCTAAGACTGGAACCTGTTAAAAATCACTGAAACAATTTAGAAACAAGACTGGAGGAAAAGCATAATAATTCTTTACTTCATGGATTTTGGAAGGTCAGTCAAAGTGCATTTTTATTTCTAATTCTTTCATGTCTATTTAACCAAGAATTTGAGGCAAAATGTTTGATAATGAGCAATATTTTGATGAACTGCTATAATTCGAGAATTTTGACATTATTAGTGGAGATTCTTCTTGTGTTTGGTGATATAAAGGAATGAATAAACTTTGCCTGTAAAAATATATTTGTCACTCATGGCCAATAGTTCGCTATTGCTTTGCATGACCTATCTTTTTTTGTTCATAATTGGAGACTAGCAGTCAGGTTTTAAGATCCAATTTAAGATTTGAAGTCAAAAGTAAGTGTCAAGGAGTCTTGAATTCCTAAACCATTTATCCCTGAAAAATTGAAAATTTGTGATTGATCTTTGATCTTTGGTTTTGTTTTTTTCTTTTATTCCAGCTCTTTCTGTCAGTGACTATTCCTTTTGAATGCCCAGTTTTCACCTTGTTTGTGTTTCCTAAAAATGCAAAGCTAATGTGTTACTCCCTAAGTGCATCTAAATTTCACCCTTTATTTGCTGTTCCAGGGTACTTTTAGCCAATGTACTATAATATCACCATGTCTGTATTTGCTTTATCTCACAAAACTTATTCAGGAACACAGTAGGGAGAAAAATCATATTTTTTGCTATACTACAACTTATTAGGTCCGAGTGCTTCTATGAGATACTTACCAGCAAAACACAGTGGAGTGCTATCTCTGCACAGTTTTCTGACACAGAAAAACTTAGACCAAACTTTATTATTATAGGTATCAAGCATAAGACCAGCCCTCCTAACTGAATAATCTATTTTGGGTGGCTTTATTAGAAGGAAGTTTTGAATCTTCTATTTTGAATTTTAAAAAGTTTTACTTTACATAAAAAACAAATGCCTCAGATATGAAAAATTAAATCCACAAACATTTTTATAGGGTGCCTGCTATTCAGATTAAGTCTCTGAAGATCAAAAATATTATTTTTGTGTTTCTCACAGGTGTAAAAGACTAAGCTGAACATACTGTTATGATTGGAAGGAAAGCAGGAAATTATTATTCCTTAAAAGTACACGACAACCAATTACCCTGTAGAATGGCACACATAATATACCATCTACTCACTTTTATGAGACATGGTTACTGAAGTTATCGCTGCTGGAATGTTAAATTAATGCGGGCAGCACCGTTAGGATTAAGTCTGACAAGTGGAAGATTGCAACGGAAGGCTGACAACACCTCAGAGTGCTGAAGAAAGAGACTTTGGGATGACAGATTGACAGGATCATGAAGTTTGTGACATAAAGATCATTACCAATTAAGATGGAGGTGAAGGAAGAACTGGGGTCAAAAGGGCACCTGCCTCGTCCTCTCTCAAATTTGTGCGATTCCAGTTGAAACAGATGATCCTTTAAAAAAAATCACAGAAAACAGCATAAACCCTACAGGCAAAGAAAGAAAAAAAGTCCTTAGAGATGAGTTTAACTTAGCTTAGCTTTGTTCTAGATAGACTTCATTAGGGAGAAAACAAAATTGCGATTGCTTACGGATATTGTTGTCATGAAAATTTCTACAAAGCACCTTTGTGTGTACATTGCCCCAAAAGAGTCATTAAAATATACACTAAAATTATTGTTTAGTTTCTATAACAATAAGGAGTAAAGATTTCTCTGTCTTTTCTCCAAATTATCTAAACATTAGATAGATATCTAACCATGGAGAGTATTTTCCCTTTTAAACATTATTTTGAGTAGTTATTTAATATATCATACTGTCATATTCTGTTGGTGTCTGTGAGACTTTTATGTATCTTCTCCATGCAAGTATGTTTTAGGAATTAATCCACAATTACATTTTTTTTACCAGGAAATTAGTGTCTTATTATTTTTTGTACTTATATGATAACAAATAAATAAAAAATAATATAAAAAAAATCATGGAGGAAAGAAAAGAGGAATAAAGCCAAACAGATAGAAAGCTAACCTATGAACACAGCATAAAAGTATGCCACCCATCAAACCTGTGACTAATACACATTATGATATTTTGACAGTTCATGTTCCACGTCACAGTTTTATTCCAACGGCTAATGAAACACAGATTATGTCAACATATCAGAGAAATTCAACCTAGCTACTCAAGTAAACTAATCTTAGACTCAGGTTGTTAATATGCTAAAGGCAAATGTCTTGTCAGGCATAATATTTTATCTGACAAGACTCCAAGTCATCTAGTATTTTAAGGCAGTTTTAGCGTTAATATTCACAGAAACGTGGTTTTGTGTCTGCTCTCTGTAATGCCATAATGTCCCTCTCCTTTCAGATCACTTACCTCATGTCTACCCATCACACCAAAAAACTTACAAATCCTGCCCCTTCCAAAGAAAGTGCAGTTGCTCCCAGACCAATAGTAATACTTCCTTCTCTCCTATAGTTTTGCCTGTGCTAGTTATGAACTGCTAAGACAAATATGAAATACAGACTAGGAACAAACAAGAGATATTGTCCATTGCATGAGATGGAAAACTGTCCGGAGAAACAATAATAAAAAAGCCCCTCCACTCCAAAACTTCAACATTGTTCAGTCCTTATTCCCCAGATCTGCCAAGCTGATGTGCCTGTTGTCTATTCTCTATTCCCATCTGCCTAAATAATACATGCCATTTCATTGCAACTTTTCTGCTCGAAAAGTGAGGATCATGTTAGTTGGAGAGTTTCCATAAAATTGCGATGTACAGCTTCAGGAAAATGAAACATCTGCTTCATATAAAATTAAAAAAAAATGTTTTATATATACAGATACATATATAAAGGAAACATTCATAACAGTATTAAAACCCTTGATGCATGAAGGCACTCAGAATCTCACCTTTCCAGAAGATCTCTGTTTGTCAAATCCAGGCCTGTTACCCTGTATGGTGGCTAATGTTAAAGCCTTTCTGGGAAGAGACCAGTATTGGAGGCATATTGTTTTCTGCAGTAACCACACATCAGTACACAACACATCAGTACACATCAGTAATAACTATTCCCACTATGCTGTTGGTCAACAAAAGAAGAAATATCTCCCTGAGTGTGGAAATCTCAACACCATTTCATATTTTTTAAACATTGCATACGAGTCTGTTTCCAGACCAAATACTGTAATATTTTGGGTCAATGGTAGAAAAAGAACAGTAAGAAGAACTCAGAATGGGAAAGGAAAAAGCATTTGAAAGAATACAAATAGCCTGGGGAGTCATTATTGTTATAGAATGTGATTTAATGAAGTATTTCTAAAAAGAACCTGACTGCCTGATGCTCTTTCTTCAATAAATAGGCATTAAAATAAAAGTGATTTATGAAAAAGCTTCTCTTCTAAGGTATTGAGTAAGCTATTTATATATCAGTTCAATAAATAAAAAACTTTTTTTTGAAGTAAAGATTTAGAACTCAGCGGAGAGTGGTTACAAATCTAACAGTTTAATCTAATCTAGTCCTAATGCCGTCTGATCACTTTTTCTCAAAATGAAAGAAAAATGGACTTGTCAATGAAAGGAAAAGGCAAAGAAAGGCGGACCTCCACAAAAACTGATTATAGAAAAGCATTCTTGATCAAATATGCAAGATGAAGTTCAGAAGCAATTTTTGAATCAAAGCTTGAAGAGGCTTTATCACTCCTACTTTGTGGATCATGTTTTCTCCTATATAAAGAGCTGAATATTTTGTACTAAATGGTAATAGATCCCACCTATATAGCATAAACCACATTTCCTCTTCAGATCTTCCCTACATGAAACTCCACTAGGAGTATTCATCAGTAAAACTTGACCCACTATGACAATTTTCCTGAAGATATGGATTTTGTGTCACTTTAAATCAAGGCATAGTATCAAGATGAAAAAGGGAAAAAAACAGCAATGGAATTCACCAAGATGTTGAGATGAGTTTGCAATTTCAAAGCTCAAACTCACAAAATAACAGAAGATTTTTCTGCTAAAGGTGCTACCTGAAGCCACATAGTTCTCCATGCAGTTCCACAAAGGGAAGTACAGGGCATATCCATGATATAGATGGGAGTTGTGGAACTACTGGGTATGTTTTCTCTGGTATCAGCCATGCCTGATTTGTTATGGAAACTATACTACCAAGGGAAGTTGATCAATTTTTTCCAAGTATATGTGCACTGCCTTTTTTAGCTGCAAATACCCAGACAAATATG